TAGCTGTCACTGTCAGTTTTATGAAAGAAAAAGTAAAATCATTGTAGGGATTGCACAGCCTTAAGCGCAGTCGAGGAGTGCTGGGGCGGAAATGGACCACCCTGAAACTAAATGTATTATATTTAAAAGTAGTCATAGGTCAGGTGTGTACATAGGCAGAGGTCCAGATTGTACAAGAGTCCAAAAGGTAGACATAGGTCCGGTTTGTACTGCAGTCAAATAAGTAGACATACGATCCCCTCCAAAAGTATTGGAACAGCTACGACAATTCCTTTGTTTTTGTTTTTCATTCAAGACATTTGGGTTTAAGATCAAAAGATGAATATTAGACAAGAGTTCAGAATTTCAGCATTAAAAACAAAGGAATTGGCCTTGCCCTTCAAATACTTTTGGAGGGGACTTTAGGTCCGGTTTGCACTAGAGTTAAAAAGGTAGACACAGGTCCGGTTTGTACTAGAGCCAAAAAATTAGACACAGGTCCGGTTTGCACTAGAGTCAAATACGTTTTTGACTCTAGTTCAGTTTGCACTAGAGTTAAAAAGGTCCGGTATATGCAAGAGTCGAAAAGGTAGATATAGGCTCGGCTTGCACTAGAGTCAAAAAGGTAGACACAGGTCGGGTATGTACAAGAGTCGAGGTAGATATAGGCTCGGTTTGCACTAAAGTCAAAGAGGTAGACACACGTCCCGTTAGCACTAAATTTAAAAAAGTAGCCATTCGAATTAAACTAAAAAATATAGACATGGGTCCGGTTTACACTAGCACCAAAAGTGTAGACACATGTTCGGTTTGTACTAGATTTAAAAAGATAGTCCAGGATCTGGTTTGCACTGGTACAAAAGGCAAACATAGGTTCGGTTCGAACTTGATTCAAAACGGTAAACACAGGTCCGGTTTGCGCTTGCTTCAAAAAGGTAGACATAGGTTGGATTTGTATTAGAATTAAAAAGGTAGACGTGGGTTCGGTTTATGCTAGAGGCAAATAGGTAGACGTGGATTATGGCTTAGCTCTTATCAGGATTTTCGTATTCTTGACTTCAAGCGAAATGGCCTAAACATCGTTAATTTTTTTCTCTTTCAGTTTAAAGCAAGGCCAAAAATTTGGAAAAAATTTAACTTCGTCAGACACAAGGCTAAATGATGGGATAAATATTGTAATGGTGTTGCATCGTAATCGATCTTTATTCGATGTAATGTAAGCTCTCACTCGTTCATCTAGATTTAATATAAAAACACCAGTATCTGTCTATATTTCTGAGATGAGGTATTATGCACAATTTCAACCACCTGAAGAAGGCTGGAGCGTACAACGGTCGAAACGTTGTAATAAATATGGCGACAAAGATGAGGACAATAGTCTGAATAATGTAAATAGTGTATATAAAAACATCAGTTTATCCATGTCAAAAATTACCTGAATATTTAAATTTCCGGTTGCATTGAATATATATTTTGTATTTGAGTAATGCAGGATTTTTATTTATACAATCAAAAATATTGTCACAGAGACATTATTAAAAGTTAAATATATCCAAAAAAAGTTAACACAACCCGTACGTTCAAAAAATGACGGCCATATTTAAGTAATTTCGATGTACCTTTTCTATAAATACTTTCATGGTAATTGTTTGGATGAACTTTTCGCTGTGGAACTTAGACTTTCTAAATTTAAGGGCAGTACTATGTTGGCGGCAAGGTCTCATCAGTTCACAGTTGAACTGGCCAAATGTAACCGTAAGTTCTGTGCTAACAGTTTCGTTTCTCGCACTTCTCGCCTGTGGAGCTCTTTTCCTATGACATGCTTTCCAAATAAATTTGATGTTAAAAACTGTAAATGCAATGCCAATCGTTATCTACTGTCTTCTTGATTACTCTTCTATTGTTTTCGCTCTTTCATAATGTTTCTCTTTTTTCTTATTCCTTCACACTTAGTAACCCCCTTGTGTCTTAGTGGCTTTGCCGCCTTGTATGGGGTGAAATGATTAGAAAACAAATTTAAATGCAACGTCAATCTTTATCTGCTATCTTCCTGATTACTCTTCTATTGTTCTCGCTCTTTAATAATGTTTCTCTCTTTTTCTTATTCTTTCACAATCAGTAACCTCCTTGTGCCTTAGTGGCTTTACTCCCTTGCATGGGGTGAAATGATTAGAAAACAAATTTAAATGCAATGCCAATCGTTATCTACTGTCTTCTTGATTACTCTTCTATGGTTCTTGACCCTTAATAATTTTTCTTTTTTTTTTTCTTATTCTTTCACAATCAGTAACTCCTCGTGTGTTAGTGGCTTTACTGTCTTGCATGGGGTGATATTGATTTTCTAAGCGTAGCTTAGGTATGGCACAAGGCCGAAGGTATGGGGCACCCAATGAGGATCGAACTCACTACTCACTTGTAACTGCTCCAGCGAGACAATCCTGTCAACCACTACGTCACGCCGAGGTGCCCCAGGTGATTTTCCAAGCGTAGCTTAGATGTAGCACAAGGCCGAAAGTCTGGGGAACGCAGTAAGGATTGAACTCACTACTCATTCGTAATAGTTCTAGCGAGACACGTTTGCTAACCATTACACCACCCCTGCATGGGGTGATATGGTTAAAAATAATTTTATTGGTTATATTGTCTGCAGGAGTAACCTAGGATATTTATCTATACGCTTTCGTTGCGTGTAAGAAAGAATTCTGCTTTCAAAATCATTAAAAGTATAAATATCAGTTCGGGCCGTCAGAGTTCTGACAAGTACGGTATATTTTGTTATTTTGGGACAGTCACTGATACGAATGCAGACCGGAATTGGGAGTGGTTAACGATGGCACATTTCGTTTCCAACAGGGTCAATTTTGATTACAGATGAAAAGAAATACTTCTTCAAACACTGCCTATTGAAAAGCGTTACGACCCTTTGTCCCAACCAAATAGAATATATATATATATGTGTGTGTGTGTGTGTGTGTGTGTGTGTGTGTGTGTGTGTGTAGAGAGAGAGAGAGAGCGAGGAAAGATGTATGACAAAGTGGAAAAGGTTTTCGTGTGACGCATTTCGGCCTTTAGGACTTCATATGACGAGGTTTCTGTATGTTGATGCGACTGCACATGCGCACGAACGTGAGACGCTTGGGATTTTAAATCTAGAAAAAAAAACTATGTATATTGGATATATAATCTAGCTAATTTCATTTGGATTCTTTTTGTTTTTCCGTCCTCTTTGTAATTAAATATCCTTCATCGCGACAAGAGAAGATCCGCCAAGAATGGTGAAACGATTCAAGAACCTAGACGCAATTTTTTTAATGAGCTACCAAAAAAAAAGCGCTTTCTAAAATATTTTCGTCTTAGTGAATTATTTTCTCTTTTAATTAGAGTGTCATTTTTTTTCTTATCAAAACTGTGGTAAGTCTCGTTATCGTGAGCAAATAATACGTTTAATGTGTTATTTTTATAATGTCTCTTTTGTGTTCATATAATCTTTTATTAAAACTTCTTGAGGTTTCTCCAATATATTTTTCTGGCAATCCTTGCGGTTGATAGAGTAAATACCTCCTTCAAGTTTTGGCTTGTTGTTTTGTTTTGTATTGATTGAGTCTTTGATTGTTTTAGTTGTAGTTGTGACAGATTTTATGCTGAGTTTATATAAATTCTTTTCAATTGTAGTTGTCATAGAGTTAGTGGATAGAATATTTTTTTATTTGTTCGATTTGTCAAGAGGGGCTACTTTTCTATTTTGCAATATTTTATAAGCCTTGTATTTCGCACCGAATATGAAATAGAATATTGGAGAGGCTTGAAAGTATTTTCAATGTATTTCTCCACATTGTGTAAATATTGAGGGCTGCACATTCTGAATGCTCTAAAGTAGAATCCATTGATCATTCCGGATTTTTTTTATTAATTGATTTTCTGTGGACACTAAGTTTTAGGCTACTGTTAACGCGGCGTAGCATGATATCTAAGAAAAGTAAAGTATGTTTTCTGGCATTTCGTATGCAAATTCTGTTGTATGTTTGACTTTGTCTAGTTTATTTACAAGATCCGGTAAATCAGTATCACGGGGATCTATTAATAGACCATATATCGGAAGTATGCTGATTGATGAGGCAAAATATTTTGAAAAGGATCAGATTCGAGAGATTCTAAGAAAATACATTCCATCACTGCACTAAGAGGCGATACCATTGGTCATTCAATGTTTTTATAAAAATTATTATTAAATGTGAAATATCATTGATCGGTGATAAGACGGTAGACATTTATTATTTTAGTGGTTGGTAAGGAGAGGTTTAACTTTAATTGTGTTAGGTGCTGTTTTAAGAAATTTTGAATTTGTTCTTGATATATATGAAATTTATATATCGTTATCCCATATATATATATATATATATATATATATATATATATATATATATATATTATATTATGAAATGGACAAAGTCCGACAATTATTTTTTAAGATATTTTTTATGTTTATACGTTCTTTTTATAGATACAGATATTTAAGTAAATGCTCTGTTTATAATAAACAGTATTAACAACATTTACCGGCCTAGATATCCGAGAAATTTAATCGATTCCTGTCGGAGGACGTATATTTTCTATTACAATTTCTCGGACATTCAAATTTAAAAAAATAAAAAATTTAAAAAATATATATATATATATATATATATATATATATATATATACGAAGTATATGTCTACACCGAGTGGAGACAGCCTGTTTTATTTTATTTAGAGTTATACAAATTTTTAAAGAACACTGGTTACCAAAATTAAGAACGAAAAATAAGTACTCTTGCCTTACGAAAAAAATAGTGTGGAGGTAAATGCTGGGGGGTTAATTTTCAAATTTTAATAAGCGTACCTACTCCCGTTTGTTCGAGATGCAAGCGTCCAGAACTACTCTTGCTTCTTGAATACTCAGTGGTATGCTTATTAAGATTTTTTTTAAATTAAGTTTTATTTGAATTCATCTTCCCGATTAGTCGAGAAGGAATTGAACATCATTAGTTAGAATAAGCAAAAAAGAAAGAAAGGACGAAAGATAGCGAGTAAAAAAGAAAGGTCAAAAGAAAAAAAGTGCTGAATAAATAAAGGATGAAAGAGAGCGAGCAAAAAATGTAAAGACGAAAGAAAACGAGCCAATAAAAGATGGAAGGACGAAAGAAAACGAATAAAAAATGGAAGGACGAAAGAAAATGAATAAAAAATGGAAGGGCGAAAGAAAACGAATAAAAAATGGAAGGGCGAAAGAAAACGAATAAAAAATGGAAGGACGAAAGAAAATGAATAAAAAATGGAAGGGCGAAAGAAAACGAATAAAAAATGGAAGGGCGAAAGAAAACGAATAAAAAAAGGAAGGGCGAAAGAATACGATTAAAAAATGGAAGGACGAAAGAAAACGAATAAAAAATGGAAGGGCGAAAGAATACGATTAAAAAATGGAAGGGCGAAAGAATACGATTAAAAAAACGGATGGACGAAAGAGTAATTATATAGGGGAAGGACAAACGAAAGTGCAAAGAGGAAATTAAAAAAAAAAAGTAAAAAGAGAATGCCCGAAAGAAAACGAACTAAAAAAGACGTTCATTTTTAACCAATTAGCACCAAATTATTTGTACAAGTAAAATTAGAAAGAGGAGTGGAGGTTAACTATTTCCATAGATGTCTTGACTTGCTAATTCAATATTGCTTGAAAGGTGGTTGAAGCGACACTTTTCAGAGAATTACCGAAATGTTTTAGCTAATTGAACTTCCATTAGCTTCCCTTGCCAATTCTGTCTGTTCATAATTTCAGATAAACCACTGGGCAACTAAAATAGAAAGAAGGCCGTTGCTAAATATTCGTATGGCTATGATCACCTTATATGAGTCATTTAGATAAGTTTTGCTCGCAAAGACATCAAACTAATTAGGTTGTCATTTTGTAGTCAGTGATATTAATTCCTATCATTTTTTTTAGCAGTGACGTTTTCTAAAATTTTCACAAAAGCGTGAGTTTCAAAATGTACGTCTGCACGTGTCTATAGGTCGGGGGTTTTTTTTTTTTTTTTTTTTTTGTGAGATAAACAAACTGCCCCCCCACACGGTTTTCAGACGTGTGGATGGCCGAATTCAATCATTGTACTGGTTAAACATTCGGCGGAGGGACACGAGAAGCCGAGTCTCGTCGCCGCACTGGTTAAACATTCGGCGAAGGGACACGGGAAGCCGAGTCTCGTCGCCGCACTGGTTAAACATTCGGCGAAGGGACACGGGAAGCCGAGTCTCGTCGCCGCACTGGTTAAACATTCGGCGAAGGGACGCGGGAAGCCGAGTTTCGTCGCCGCACTGGTTAAACATTCGGCGAAGGGACACGGGAAGCCGAGTCTCGTCGCCGCACTGGTTAAACATTCGGCGAAGGGACACGGGAAGCCGAGTCTCGTCGCCGCACTGGTTAAACATTCGGCGAAGGGACACGGGAAGCCGAGTTTCGTCATCGTACTGCTTTCTGCTTATCTCCCGGCTGTGTTTCCTTTTCTATTTTTTTTTTTAATTATACAAATTTTTCCTTATTTAAACTATTTACATTGTTCGGACTGTTGTCCTCATATTCATTGCCATATTCATGACGTTTTGACCGTTGTACGTTCCAGCCTCCTTCAGGTCATTGGAATTTACTTAGCATAGCTTAGATGTGACACAGGGCTTAAATCAATTACGCCACTGGACCATGTGTTCTTGAGGACATTTGTGTATGAATTTTTGGAACTTATAAACCTAATGTCTCAGCCATCATTTTTTTACCAGTGCTCATTTTCTGTTATTATTATTATTCATTTTTTTTACCAGAGCTGATATTGCAATTTTTGTTGTTATTCATTGCTTTTCTCTAGCACTCCTTATTACTAGTTCGCATATTGTATTCATTTCTATGCTTGGTCGGCTCAGGAGATTTTTGTGGCCTAGTATATGTGCTGATTCCTTAAGTTTTCGTATTTTCCAGTGCTGTTCTCTGTCTATTATTTCGACCTCATCCCACAAAGGGGAGGATCACCCTTTTCCCTCTATATGTGGTCAGCTACACCTGATTTTTCTAAAAAAAAAAATCCGTACAATTAAAAAAGAATTTCTGGCTTTAAATAACCTGTAAGAGTGTAATAGACCGTAAAAAATCAAATCATTCAATGTTTATCTTTGGTGAGATTGTCCAACATTCACTATAATACAACAGGACTGATGCCACATTGTAATGTTTTTTCTTCGTTTCATCTCTTGTTTTTTCTCTTCTAAATTTTCTGATATTAAATGTTATTTTATGTTTCTTGCAGGCTCTTTGAGTAGGATGACTACGATCAGTTATGAACCAAAAGCAGTGCTCATAAGAATCACCAAAGTCTCGATAGTGCAAGACAAAGGAAGTACCATGTCTCTACTGTGGGTTCCATACGTCGTCCTCGCCACCCTGATGGTCTTCTTTTTCCTCATTTCATTTGCGCTTTATCATATGAAACGACGCAAGTACCAATTGCGTCGCTGGGCCTCGAAATGTCTTCGCGAACAGATGAGAATTTCCGGAAAAGAATCTGTCGCCACCGTCGAGGCTACGTCGACGCCAGAACCGACTACTCCATCTGGGTTGGAACGAAATTCGTCTTCACTGAGTGAATTCGTGTCCGAAAATACAATCATTCCGATGACCGAAACTGATTATAATTCTGTCGTAAGAATCCACCCGATGTCGCCATCTGAATCCATCGACAGCAAAGTATGAATTATGTTTTTGGCAACAAAATAAATTAGCTTTCAATCAATCAAGCTCGATATTCGATCAAGGACAGTGACTGTGGGGAACAAATTTGACTCAGATACTGCGTGTCAAGAGTGACAGCCATAGACTGATTTAAAACGGAAGTATGGAACTGTTTGTTTTATGACATCAGGGATTTGGTACAACGCGGGATCAGATCATGAAACACAAAAGTTTGGGTGTCTAATATAGTATAAATTAGATATTTTCACACAGACGCACAGTAATTTACTAAGCATAGCTTAAATGTAGCACAGGGCTAAAAGCATGGATTACCCAGTGAGAATCAAAGTCAATTTTCAATCGTTATTGATCTAGCAAGACAAACCTGTTAACCATTACAATAGTGGAAGTGCTCCACACACACACACACACACACACACACACACACATATATATATATATATATATATATATATAAGACATTTTTATGTTTATACATTCTTTTTATAGATACAAATATTTAAATAAATGCTCTGTTTTATAATAAACAGTATTAATAACATTTACCGGCCTGAATGTCCGAGAAATTGTCATAGAAAATCGGAGAACGAATATTTTTTTATGAAAATTTCTCGGGTTTTCAGGCCGGTAAATGGTATTAATACTGTTTATTATAAAACAGAGCATTAATTTAAATATTTGTATCTATAAAAAGAATGTATAAACATAAAAATGTCTTATATAATTGTCGGACTTTGTCCATTTCATAATATATATATATATATATATATATATAATATTTTTATCAACAATAACAAGGACAATAAACTAGATAAAAATATATATATAATACTACCTAACTGCAGTGGCGTAGCTAGAGTAAACGTCACCCGGGACGGTCCGCTCAAATGTCATCCCAATGACCCCGATTGATATGCTGAATGGTTAGCTGTAGCTAAATTTTCATACATGCTCTACCTCTACTTTACTCTACTGACCGGTACGTTACTGCTTACATGTATGATCCAAGACAAAATCCAATACCACAAAATAATCAGTTCAAATCAAAAAGCTGAAAACATTGCTATTTTTCCTACTCACAAATTTCCCAACAATTTATTAAAAAAAATCTGACGGGGGGACAAAACTGGGGGGTCAAAAATTATTTGGGGGGGGAGTCATATGCCCGCCTGCGAAACCCTGTGTCTCCACCACTGTTTTCAGACTATTTTTGACACCTTAGCCTGGTTGAAAAATTTTGTTGGGGATGTCATTGTGTCACCCTTCCTGTGCTGGCACCCGGGGCGGTCCGCAATTAGCTACGCCACTGCATAACATCCACTACCCAAAACAATTTATCCAATCTTAATATTATCAAAATAATTACAACCATATCCAAAACAATCATGGATATGAGCAGAACCCAAAATTCCCATAACAATAATAATTCTGAAGCAGGTGTATAGAGAAATAAACTGTCACAACTGCACTTCACATTACACTGGGGAAACTTGCAGAAATTTCAAAAACACAACTATGAACACCAGATTTTTTCATATATATATGTGTGTGTGTGTGTGTGTGTGTGTGTGTGTGTGTGTGTGTGTGTGTGTGTGTGTGTGTGTGTGTAGTGAAAAATAACTGACAAGGTACTTCTGTTATGATTTTATTGTATTTTCTTGTATTCGAATAAGATATTCCTCTTTGGGACTTGAGTGAGTTTAGAAACTGATTGTTGTGGTGTCCTCCTTCTAAGAGTCTATGTTAGACTCTTGAACCTACTATAAATTTAGTAGGAGAGAAGGAGCAGTGAACAGTGAATAAATGAGCGCTAGTTCATACGATACACTCTCACTAGTCTTGTAATACTCTTCTGGTGTACTTACTGTTTAATATACGATACATCTGCAAACCGGGTTTTTGTTATAACTTAACCATTTACTTGGTCACAACACTGATCAAATTATTGTTAGTTCCGAACGCTTTCAACTAATCTATTAGCCATTTTCAAAAGTTGTTTAAAGGTAGACATATGTAAAAAGCGTCTACAAAATAATGGAAATCCTAATAATTAAAAAAATAAATAAATAACCCAACTCTTTACAACATTATCTATGATCCCAACCACAATTTACAGGCCGTATTCGGGAATAAAAAATATGTCTGCCTTTCAACAGCCGTTTGACTTGTACCACTTACACACTATGTACAATAGTACAACCCAAATCCTAGAAAATCATTAATAGATTGGCCGAAATCGCTCGAAAAGAACAATTATTTGGACAATTTTTACACTCAGTAAGTTGAAAAAAGAAACACTTGTTCGCATACCAAAAATGCAAGAAAAAAACTTGACCTAAGTACCATATCAATTTTAACAAAACAAATACTAAAGAGTGGTTGCTGCTTGAATACATAACTAAGATATATATATATATATATGAAGACAATATAGTTTTATGGTGTGCTATATTTATGGGATAAAATGCTCAATATGAGAGATAGAGCGTATATAAATATAAAAGTGAACATTGAAGTCAATACTCAAAGGCGACAGGCTGTTTCATGCTGGACGCAATCATCTGGCCTGACGATTGTGTCTAGCATGAAACAGCCTGTCGCCTCTGAATGTTGACTTCAATGTTCATTTATATATATATATATATATATATGCGCGCGCGTGTGTGTGTGCGTGTGTGTGTGTGCGCGTGTGAAAATTCAGATATAAATAAAAAATATATTTGTAAAAAGACATTATGAATAAAGAGAAAAGGAAAACTTTTCAAAGCCGAGGCGTTTCGTCCTCTGATGGACCTTATCTAGGCAAATGTAAAAATTTTATTCGCATCAAATATTTATAAACAGAAGGAAAAATGTCGTTACATTTTTTTAAATTTTTAAATGTAAGAACGCTTCTTAATATACCTCAGCCTAACTGAAAGTCAAGGTAAATTATGAAGGGTCCACAACAATTTGTCTAATAAATAAATATAAGATCAAAATAATAACAACTACATCCCAAGATATTATGCTTACGACCAGAACTAAAAATACTCATAACAATAAAAATAATAATGAAGCAGGTATATATAAAACGAACTGCTCCTCACAATACATTGGGGAAACTTGCAGAAATTTAAAAAACGTATCTATAAACGCAAAAAGGATATTATACATAAAAATTTATCAAATGCATTAGTCGCGCATGAAAATAAGGTCAACTACAACTTCGATCTAAAAAAAATGTCACACTTATTAAATGAGAAAGTAAATTATTTAGACAAAAAATTGGACCGCTATCAAATCTTACAAAAATATAAATCTGCATTCCAGATGTTTTCATATACACCCTTGTGTAAATTAATTAAACAGGAAGATGTGGAGAGCCATGATTACCTACACCCTTGTGCAAATTAATTGAGACAAAACGAATAATTCAGTTATTAATTACTTTTTTCGTATTTTTCCAATGAAACATGACCTAGTGCACATGTTAGTACTTCGTATGTACATTCAAACGAAGTCGTTCCTTGCAGATTGACCACAGATTGTCGATTAGATTTAAATCACGAAGTTTCCGGGCTAATCTATAGTACTTTAATTTGCTCACTGGCAAGGCTTGTCAGTGTGTTCGGGCAGCGTTACAATTTTCGTACGCTTCCTTGGAGTAACGTCCATCGCAGACAATGGCCGTAGGACAACTAATCGACAG